AATGAACGTTTTGGACAAGAAATCATTGAAGCTATCAGCGGCTAACTGGGCATCAACTATGGGATTTCCGAGAGCGTCTCGGAGGATGGGATGTTGCGTCTTTCGGTGAGTTCGTATTTTTCTAGAGAAATGTTTCGAGACAGGTCCCGTCGTGGGGTGAGCAGCGTGATCGCCACTACACTATCGGCGCACGGCGAACGGACTGAAATAAATAAAGGAGTAAACATTTTTCGTAGTACAAATGACTGCAACTCTTTATATATCGCTGTTAAGTCACCTCCCGCTAAACGAGCAAGGAGCCTAGTAAGTTGTATGGATATCAAATACGAAGACGAAGCCTGTACGACATGTTTCGGACTCCTTCAAAAATTTGCGGAAATGGAGAGGGAGATAAAGGGACTTAAAGTGGAGATGGAGAAGCTGAGGAATCCCCCTCGCTATTCATCCAAAGAGAATGAAAGCGAGCGAACTTACGCAAACACGGCTTCCTCGGCTGTGTCGACGGAGGAGAAAGAAAATAGTAGGTCGCTAGAGCTTGATAGGAATGACACCCAGTGTCTTGTGAGAAAAAAGCGCGGTCAGACGCGATCTCAGCGAGCAAAAAGAAATCTCAGGGTACCTCAAAAAGGCACAGAGAGTCAGACGAGGGAACAAGAGTTGGCTACGCCGCACACGAAAATCGCGCCGCTGAAAACGAAAAATGATCAAAAGATCGTAGTAAACAGGCAGTCATGCGTTAGTCCTGCTGAATCAAACCTTCCTAAATCGGTGGAAGGTTGTAGCCGGGATGCACGCGATGAAGACTCTGTAGGTATGATTATACCACAAGGCCGTCTAGTTGATCGCAGTAAATGCATCGTTATAAAGGGCATGCCGGAGTCTGTTTCCGACGCTTCAAAGGACAGAATACAACATGACATAGAAATATTCTAGGAATATCTCAAATCGATCTTAATAAGAGACGAAAAAGTCACAGTATTAAAGGCTTTCAGGATGGGCAAAATTAAAGACTCAAAACAAGTTCCAGACCGACCGAGACCGTTAAAAATTTTCTTTGAGAATGACGAACAAGCACAGCTACTTTTGAGCAGGAAAGCTGCGCTTAAACACGCCCATCCATCAGTTTTTTTTCAGCGGGACTTTTCACCCGCGGAGCGAGAAAAATGGAGGGGGCTCAAATTGGAAGTCCTCAGGCGGTCGAGTCTGGGCGAGACAAATCTCCGAATAGTGGACGGAAAAATTATACGCGTCCAGAGGCCATTCCTCTGGAGAAAGCCCATAACTCTAACAGCTTAGGAGTGATGGAAAGCAGTTCATTCCGATCAGCTCCGACCGGCTTTTGCATTCAATCCCAAGAAATGGATAAACGCCTGTATGCCGGAGTTGCTCGTGCCAAATTGAGATTTTTGTATACCAATGCTCAAAGTCTCGTTTCGAAAATCGACGAACTCAAAGCGAGAGTACCGGAACAAATCCCAGACGTCATCGCCATAACGGAAACTTGGCTTAATGCCGAAATCATGGATGCTGAGATTTCGATACCGGGTTACCAGCTGTTTCGTAGAGACCGTCAAAATAGGCAGGGCGGAGGGGTAGTCATATATGTAAGGGAAGGAATTTCAGCAGTTGAAAGAGCCCACACCCTATCCCTTGAATATGAATCCGTCTGGATAAAGATAAAGAAGAGCAATGCACAAAATCTAGAATTTCTGGCGATTTACAGNCCACACAAACGCCTAATCTACAAACTTTCTGAAATTGGGATAAGAGGAAGGCTGCTGACATGGATAACAGATTTTCTTAACGGGAGATCGCAAACCGTGTGCATTGAGGCCTCAAGGTCAACTCCTACTCCCGTTCTAAGTGGTGTACCCCAGGGCTCCGTCTTAGGGCCGTTGCTATTCCTGGTTTACATTAACGACTGCGTCGACGACCTGGGATGCAGCGCCATCATGTTTGCTGACGATGTTAAGCTGTGGAGATCCATCAGATCTGATGCAGACAGGTACGCGCTTCAAGACAGTCTCAACCGCCTAAACAGTTGGTCAGCTCGCTGGCTCCTCAATTTTAATGTGGACAAATGTGTAGTCCTGAGACTCCGCACCAGACAGACCAGTAAGGAGGACGATTCCTTTCAATATGTCCTTGGTGGTCAGTCCCTTTCAAATGTTGTGGAACAGAAGGACCTGGGAGTCCTAATGACCCCCTCGCTGAAACCATCTTCACAGTGTCAAAGGGCAGCCAAAAGTGCGATAAGGGTGTTATTTGCGCTGAGGCGAGGATTTGTGCAGATCGACAAGGAGCTGTTCGGAAAAACCTATGGGGCATTCGTCCGGTCTCACTTAGAGTATGCAGTCCAGGCCTGGCGACCGTGGTTAAAGAAAGATTATCAAAGAATGGAAAGAGTACAGGCGATGGCTACGAAGATGGTCAAGAATCTTCATCATTTGCCTTACGAAACCAGGCTGACTGAACTAAATCTGTTTCCTCTAAATTACAGGCAACTGCGCGGCGATCTCATTCAAACCTACAGGATTGTCAGAAGCCGAGAGTGTGCCCTAGATTTTGATGAATTCTTTGAATTGGCCCGGACTGACCGTCTGCGTGGTCATCCGTTCAA